TGTGCATGGTCACACATGCAAACAGGGCACAACTCCTACTTTGGCGGAAAAATGAGAGTTAGTGGACTGTGGTGCATACGGTACGGAGAATAGACGCGGTCAATGACTATCTTGAACGCATTTTTGTTGCATGGACATCATACGCATACAAATTTCTCGTAGCAAGTCCATATACAGCAGACCATGGTGGTTTCCGCTGAAGCGAATCCGCAGAAGCGACAGTCTCGCTTCGAAAATTTTGGCGGAAGCGGATTGGAGTTTCCGCTGAAGCGGAAGTTCCGCTTTTCGCCGTTGCCATGCCATTTTTCGCTCCTGCGACCTCGCTTCAGCCAAGAGTACATGAAAACCAGAGTGTGCAGCTCGGATGGGTTGCTGTCACGGCGAAATTCCGTGATTACATCATTTTAGGGATGTAGTGCGTACAAGCAGGATTCAAGCAGGTCTCTTTCTGCACAACTGCAGCTCAGTTGTACGCACTACGCCATTTCCCGCCTCAGATCTGGGCCAAATATGATGTAATCACGGAATTTCGCCGTGACAGACACCCATAGCAGAAAAGGCCCCAAGCTGCACACTCTGGTTTTCATGTACTCTTGCTTCAGCGTATACGCTACTTTCGAGTGCATGTGTGACCGGGCCCTTAGAATTTCTTGGACTTAGAAATTTTCTCTCCAACTTAGAAAAAGAATTTTTTGAAGAAAGCAGAAATACACAAGATGGGATTTGAACCCACAACCTTGTGAATCTCAGTCACTCTTCCTTACCACCCAGCCACTGTGCTACCGATGCTGAACCTAGTTTAAACAATGATCTTGACTTTCAATGCAGTACAATGCGGTATAGGCTATAGTATAATTAGTCCGGGGGCCAAGTTAGGAAAAAGTCACGTCTAATAGATTTCGTTCCGAGTGAGAGGGCACCAAGTTTTTGCGATTTGAGTGTCAAGTATCTTCAAAATGCTGCAAGATGGTATGCCATTCAATCAAAATTTCCATCGGGAAGGTCATACAATGAAGGTAGAAAGAATTGATGATGGTTGCCATGGCAACAAATCAGTTAATTCAAATTTACAGGAGAACCATGCAATATTTTGACAACATTCCTGCTGGATATAAACATATCCAATACGTATGACTGGTTGGCCAAGTTTGACTGAAAACAAATAAACTTCAGGGCCTCAAAGGTGAATTATAAAATCGGATCTACTGCAACTATACATCACTGTACATACGTAATTAAATATGCATGCATACACCGACAATTGTACAAATATATTGGTGACCAGTGTACATGTGACATCTATAAAGCCTTTTAGAAAAAGTTAGAAATGAATAGAGCAATCTGTGACCAATGGTGATCTAATGGATATACATGTACAATGTACATGTATGTATGGCGAAGAGGAAAATGTAGAGGGAAACAGAGCACGCCAAAGCAGTTCTCTCTAAGTACCTATCAGTTGGTAGCAACAAAGAGGATCTTGTGGCATTCTTTGGTGGTGAAGTGGCAGCTCCCGGACAACCTGAACAAGGTGCCCCCAGGCAAGGAACTGGTTGTCACTGCGGGCCAAGAGTGCATAATAATTATTGTCAAGTCGGCTGGTGCAAGCATGGCGTCTACTGCTGTGGAGGAGTTGCTGTTAACTCAGGAAGAGGCTGACACCAGACTGCTCCTTCATGCAAGGCATGCAGCTGTCAGTGGGTATGAGACCGTTCTGATAAGAACACGAGATACCGATGTTGGCATCATTGCTTGTTCTGTTAGCCATGTTATCCCGTGTACGTTGCTGGTGGAGGTTGGTGCAGGTTTTTGCCCCCCCCCCTTTTTTTTTTACTAAGGCCACAGCTTCCAATCATGACATGCAAAGCAGCGGTGCAGCATCACAGGCATGAATCGTGGACGTGGTGACGGGGTCTGATGTGCTCCACCGACCTAGGGTCTCGGCTTCACTGCACAGCAAACGCGTCGAAAGAAAACGGGGGCTAATAATTATCGGGAGATGGGGGGGGGGGAGAAGAAGAGAAGAAGGAGAGAGAGAGAGAGAGAGAGAGAGAGAGAGAGAGAGAGAGAGAGAGAGAGAGCGAGAGAGCGAGAGAGCGAGAGAGAGAGAGAGAGAGCTGGGAGATAGAAGAGCACAATGCTCTTGGTGTTGGGGACTGCGAAGGATAGCAGGTTCTGGGACATGTGCATGGGAATGAGAATATTGATGATGATGGCAGCAGGGTTATAAGGTAAGCAGCTGAACACTAATAAGAACAGGGAAAGCGTTGGTGAACCGATTCAAAGTGCATCAGTAGCAGAGAGCCAGTCCTGAGCAAGAAGGTGACGGTACACCTTTTTCTTTTAAAAGCTTTGCATGTGGGGCTGGGCGGATGGGTGGTGGAACAGGTCTGGTGGCAGGGCATTCCATGTTGCAACGGTGCAAGCAGGGAATCCTTGGAGACAGCTATTCCGGATGTTGGCAGGCAGGCCAGTTGTCATCTGGTATGGATGGGAATCCTGCAGCTGGAGAGACTGACGGGTAGGTCTTGTCTCGGGGGCACGGTGAGTGGCTGGTTTGGGCAGCATCTGCTTCAGAGGGCTGGATGCATCTAGATAGCAGAGCTTGTAGGTATAGGCAAGTGCAGCTACCAGGCGACGGAGTGCCAGGCTAGGGAGCCAAGTACCTGCTCCGATGATGTAGAGGGCCCTTCGCTGGATCTGGTCCAGCTTCTTAAGATGGGACGAGGGTGAGCCCATCCACACTATGGGGCAATACTCGAGTGTGGGTCGCACAAAGCCGTTGTAGACGCGTTGGCGGCTCTCGGCGACCAGAATGGGAGACGCTCGCTTCAGGAAGCCAATCCGCTGGTTAGCATGGGAAGCTAGGGAGCGGAGGTGGAAGGAGTAGCTCAGGGTGTCGTCAAAGGTGACTCCCAGGAGTTTCAGCCGACTCTCTTCACTGACCGGCGTGCCGTCAAATGTTGCTCGAGGGAGCTCCTAGGGCTGGCGATGGTGGCCTATAGACATAGCCTGCGTCTTGGAGGGCTCAAATTTGATCCTCCACTTGGTATGTCCCCAACGGGAAAACGCATCAATGCCCTGCTGGAGGAGCTCGGAGCCACAATCAATGTCAGCTCTTGATGTGAGGCAGTGGAAGAGAGTTCCTGGGTTAACAGCAACTCCACCACAGCAGTAAACGCCATGCTTGCACCAGCCGACTTGACAATTGTGACTCTTGGCCCGCAGTGACAACCAGTTCCTTGCCTGGGGCACCTTGTCAGGTTGTCCGGGAGCTGCCACTTCACCACCAAAAAATGCCACAAGCTCTTCTTTGTTGCTACCAACTGATAGGTACTTAGAGAACTGCTTTGGCGTGCTCTAGTTCCCTCTACATTTTCCTCTTCGCCATACATACATACACGTACATGTACATGTACACACTAGTCAGAACAACAGATGGCTTGATCAGTCACAACTTAAAGTTTCATGCCATCTCAGGCATGTACATGTACATGTATATCCATTAGATCACCATTAGTCACAGACTACTCTATTCATTTCTAACTCTTTTCTAAAAGGCTTTATAGATGTCACATGTACACTCGTCACCAATATATTTATACAATTGTCGGTGTATGCATGCATATTTAATTACGTATGTACAGTAATGTATAGTTGCAGTAGATCCGACTTTATAATTCACCTTTGAGGCCCTGAAGTTTATTTGTTTTCAGTCAAACTTGGCCAACCAGTCATACGTATTGGATATGTTTATATCCAGCAGGAATTTTGTCAAAATATCGCGTAGTTCTCCTGTATATTTGAATTAAGTGATGTGTTGCCATGGCAACCATCATCAATTCTTTCAACCTTCATTGTATGACCTTCCCGATGGAAATTTTGATTGAATGGCATACCATCTTGCAGCATTTTGAAGATACTTGACACTCAAATCGACAAAATTTGGTGCCCTCTTACCCGGAACGAAACTTCAAAAATAATACCCCTGGCCCCCAGACTAAATACTAGAATTACAAGGATATGTCGTATATGAAAAGAAACTATTGCGTGGAGAACACGATAAATAGATTATAGACCTCCTAACCGGTCTATAATCTATACGTACTGTACACACACACAATACACTGTAGCAGACTGTACTGTACGCACACACAATACACTGTATCAGACTGTACTGTACGCACACACAATACACTGTATCAGACTGTACTGACACACACAATACACTGTATCAGACTGTACTGTACACACACAAAATACACTGTATCAGACTGTACTGTACGCACACACAATACACTGTATCAGACTGTACTGTACGCACACACAATACACTGTATCAGACTGTACTGACACACACAATACACTGTATCAGACTGTACTGTACACACACAAAATACACTGTATCAGACTGTACTGTACACACACACACAATACACTTGTATACATACATGTACACATATACATGTACAATGTACACATATACATGTACAGCAGAGCAGTCAGGCAGTCAGGCAGTCAGACTTACATAACACACTGTCTTGTAGTCAGGGCATATGATAGAGCCGTTAAATACGTCACCATTTATTGTAACGTTGACGCTAACCTGAGTACATGTATACAAACACACACACACACACACACACACACACACACACACACACACACACATGCATGCACACACACACACACACACACACACACACACACACACACACACACACACACACACACACATGCACACACACACACGCACGCACGCACACACATGCACACACAACTCTAAACTAAATACACAAACATGACTCAGCAGTTCATATTCAACAAGAATACGGTACATAATCGGACAACGTAGAGCATTATCAACAAAGCCGCTATAATCCCCCATATGTCTATGTGTCTGTCTGTCTGTCTCAATGCCAGTCTGTCCATTCATCCATCCCGTCCGTGTGTTGTGCGTCCGCCCCTCTCTACCTATCTATCTATCTATCTATCTATTTGTCTGCCTCTCCCTCTCCTCTTTGTCTCCCTCTCTACCCCTCTCTCTCATGCACATACACACACACCAGCTCACGCAGACTAGCAAAAACTTGCACAGACTTGGCGTGACTTGCACAGACTAGGAAAAACTCGCAGAGACTCACAGAATCACGCCAGCTCATAGTCTCCTACACACTCGCAGACTTGCACCGACTCTTTTAAAACTCACAAAAACCGAAACTGACTACCACACACCTGTGCAGACTCGCACAGACTCATACAAACTCACAGCGACTCATACAAACTCAGTTTTAACTCACACAGACCCATGGAGCCTCGTACAAAGTCACATTGACTCACAGCGACTCACAGCGACTCATGCCCACTTACAGGTGCACTGGATCTTTTAGTACAGTTGATTCTGTTGGTACCAACGTCTACAAATAGTGAGCTAGGAGCTACACAGTGTACCTAATGATAGAAAACGAAACGAAACAAACAAACACACACACACGCATACATACACACACATACATACATACACATGCCCACACGTACACATGTCCACACATACACATGCATACACGCACACACACGCGCACGCACACACACACACGCACACACACGCACACACACACACACGCGCACACACACACGCACACACACACACACACATACACGCACACATGCACACACAAGAACAATCAGTAAAAGAATTTCAGACAGGAAGGGAGGAGGTTGATGATACCCATACAGTTGAATCCCTGGCTCATGACCAGGATGAGACAGTATTGTGTCTGATGACCAGGATGATAGTGAATGTCCTGATGGTACAATGTAATGTGTCTATGAGTGTGCATTGCGTTGGTGTACGTATACTAGTTGGACATGTCTATATGTGTGTGTGTTTGTACACAGCCTGTGTTCTGTCGGTTTTACTCTACGGTGCTGAGTCATGGGCTCCGCTTCGGCACGACTTGGATCTGCTGGACAACTTTCACCACCGGTGCATTCGCTCCATCTTATGTGTATCTCGGCGTCAGCAATGGGAGGAGAAAATCTCATCGGCAACGCTCCGTGCGCGCTGGGGTGACACTACACCGGTGTCAGACCTTGTTCGGCGTCGGCGGTTGGAATGGCTCGGGCAAGTCGCGCGCATGCCTGCAGACCGTGCTCCCGTCCAGATTTTGTTTGGAAGGTTGAGTGGTCGTCGCCCTCCTTGTGGTCCCCGGCGGCGCTGGAAAGACGTTGTCCAGAGAGACATGAGGGCAGCTGGCGTGGATTCCTGGTTTCAGAATGCCCAAGACCGGCAGAACTGGAGGATGTTCCTTGCTGAGCCACCACCGCACACAGATGATTCGCCACCTTTGCGCTGCTTGCTGTGTGCCAGAGACTTCCGCCGCCGTAACGACATGGCCCGACACAAGTGCATTGCCCAGCGGAAGTTGCCTGCGTCACAACAGAAGGGTGCCAGGCAATGTATGAAGTGCATGCGGTGGTTGAGGAGCGCTGGAGGACTGGCTGTGCATCGCTGTCCTGTGTCCACGGATGTCCCCACTGTATCCATTCGCCATGAATCTGACTCTTTGCGATGTGATGTTTGTCGCCGCTCTTTCCGCTCTCGTTCTGGTTTGAGCCGTCATCACTGTGACCGAGCGAAACGGATGTCACGTGCAGCCAGGAACAACTGCCGTCATGAATGCGAGCATTGCGAAAGACGGTTCTCAAGGCCACAGGACTTGCAACGCCATGCCAAATATTGTTGACTTTGCGATTTCTCTCTCTTCTCTTCTCTCTTCTTGTCGTTGTCTCCCGCTTCTGGGAGCGGCGTGGCCCGATAGGGTAGCTGTACATAGTAGTAGTAGTAGTAGTGTGTGCATGTATAGTACAGGTCTGTGTGTGTGTGTGTGTGTGTGTGTGTGTGTGTGTGTGTGTGTGTGTGTGTGTGTGTGTGTGTGTGTGTGTGCGTGTGTCTGTCTGTCAAAAAAGAATGAAAAATGGGAAAAAATGAAGAAAAAAATGAAAAATAGGGATTCACTGGCCAGAAAAAAGCCACTTCAATCAGCTGTGTGGTGGATACCAGGCTAAAATAAGTAGTGATCAATTCATCAGCCTTGCAAGCTGTTGAATGGTGTAATCCTAGCACAAGTTGCTATGTCTAACATAGCTGTTCGCTATCATCGCTTCCGCGATAGTCATGTCTGAGTCTGAGTCTGAGCATGAGTGTGTGTGTGCACGCGCGTGTGTGCATGTATGTGTGTGTGTTTGTGTGTGTGTGAGCATGGTGTTGGTGTGTGTATATACTGTAGTAGTAGTAGTAGTAGTAGTAGTAGTAGTAGTAGTAGTAGTAGTAGTAGTAGTAGTAGTAGTAGTAGTAGTAGTAGTAGTAGTAGTAGTAGTAGTAGTAGTAGTAGTAGTAGTAGTAGTAGTAGTAGTAGTAGTAGTAGTAGTAGTAGTAGTAGTACAGGTGTGTGTGTGTGTGTGTGTGTGTGTGTGTGTGTGTGTGTTTGTGTGTGTGTGTGTGAGCATGGTGTTGGTGTGTATATACTGTAGTAGTAGTAGTAGTAGTAGTAGTAGTAGTAGTAGTAGTACAGGTGTGTGTGTGTGTGTCTGAGCATGGTGTTGATGTGTGTATACTGTAGTAGTAGTAGTAGTACAGTAGTACAGGTGTGTGTGTGTGTCTGAGCATGGTGTTGGTGTGTGTATACTGTAGTAGTAGTAGTAGTACAGTAGTACAGGTGTGTGTGTGTGTGTCTGAGCATGGTGTTGGTACTTGTACTTACCCTGTAACAACCAGCACCGTATAACCTCGGTGTGACACGTACTCGACCTGATACTCGGCTAAACTGTCCTCCCTGTTGTATACACCGTGATCCACTCCCATAATACTGTAAGTCCAGAACGTCTGTGAACAGAGAACAACAAACAGCGGAAATGAATTCTGAAATCATCAGACAAAAACAAAGACTAAAAACAGCTGCATTATTCTGTGACTGTCAGGGGTAAAGCACTCGTATGTTTGTCATACGACTGTACAGTAAGATCGGGCGCCGAAGAACGCAGGGGCTCGAGCGCAGCCTAGGAAAGTTCTTAAATTTTTGATTCTAGCCAGACCGTTCTTATTCACACGCGCGCGGCGAGTCGAGTGACGTCATGACGTTTGTCATGTACATGTACATGTACATGTACATGTAGTGCAATGTACATGTAGTACTTCTAAACTAGTGGGTGTCGTAAATGGGAATGACTGTATACATATGTACATGTAGCAGTTACTGTTTACACGTGTACATGACATGTACTCACCTCCCATACATGTACAATGTTCCAAATTTTAAAAGTGTTCTTAAATCTGATAATTCTAGCCTGGACTGTTCTTAAATTTTGCCGGTTTTCCAGCCTGGGTGTTCTTCGGCGAGGTGTTCTTCGGCGCCCGATCTTACTGTAGTGCGACTGAAGTACGACTGAAGTACGACTGTAGGACGACTTTAAATTCGCTGTTCACGTGAAAGCTTGAACGCACGTTTGCGCATACATGAACCGCAAACGTTGCAGCCTGCAGCCGTGGGAAGTGTGAAGACACTGCAGGCGTGGGAAGTGTGAAGACACTGCAGGCGTGGGAAGTACAGGTATGCATTTGCCATTATTCTATACCATAATGGCAGCTGTACCAGTTTCAGTAGGGTCTTCTATACACACACACACCGCAGGCGAAGGCCTGTATTGCTGTAACTTGAAAGTTTTCACGCATTTTAGCGATCATCAGACAGCGACATTTTTTGCATTGAATTAACATTTCACCATAAGTATGAGTGCTTTATTTTAGGGCTGAAACAATTATACCGATAACACGCATATCGATCGTTAAGAGTGCAATCGATAATCGTTAGTGTTCAAAACGAGTGCTAACGATTTTTATGCATGCATATCAGTGACAGCATTCTAGCCCTTGCACTCCATCCGATAGTGAATACGAGTACAATCATGTACTTCCAAGTGCGGTAAAATTGATTTGTGGCTTTGAAAGAGATCGGGAGAGACGACTTTGTCTTTTTTGGTTCATTTCTGGGAGAGGTCGGAGATAAGAGCAGTTGCCAGAGGGCGATGACAAGACTCAGGTGTCAACAGTGCGGTGCCACAAATCTCTAACGTATACCAAAGTTATCATGGAATTTCTTCCTAAACTGGTGTTCGAGGTACACGGGTAGAGCCAACAAGAATCGATAATAAATAAATCATTCGTTAATGATATTGGTTGATCGTTAGGAGGTATTGAATGATCGTTTCAGCGCTACTGTTTTATTTACATGAACATAAGTACTTTATTTACATGAACATAAGTACTTTATATACATGAACATAAGTACACTGTACTCTATTTACATGAACAGTGTAAGTACAGAGACTACAGACTCTCGTGAAAGTCGTCCAAGCACAACTTCAAAGTATCAAGGTGATCTGATAAACCTCACCTGATGCTGTGGGCGCGTTGGATTCAATAGTGCATATTGAATTTGTCATGTCATTCTTGTTGAACCTCTGCAGTGAGCATGCATTCAGATAAAGTGAAACCTGTCTAAGACGACCGCTCAAGGGACCTTCAAAACGTGGTCTCTGTTACCAGGTGGTCTGCTTATCCAGGGTCATTTGACTGGACATAGCATCCCTTGGTCCTGGTCGAGGTGGTCTTCTGGGACAGGTGGTCATAAAGATACAGTAGAAAATGTGCAACCACCCAGCAATGTCCGTAAAAACTAGGGGTGGAAAAGTGGCTGAAGTTGACAAAACAGATATGGGGACCACCCTTTTTTATTTCAGAATTTGAAACCTAAGGTACCTAAGACCCCAAAAATCTGTTCACTTCAAAATATTACGACTATGAAATTTGGCCTAAACTGTCCCCAACACCTCCTTAAACCTTCGCAGTTTCTTTCTATTCATATCACGGTGCACCTCTGCACAATTTGAATGAAATCGTTTGGTTCATTATGTTGAGCACAAGGCTGGAAACCATCTCACGTGTCAGTCAGTCCGGGATGCAGAAAACCGTGCTTTGGATACTTCACATTGATTCAAAAATGGAATTATTTACTCTTTAGAAAGTAAACCATATACATTGGCTATACAACGTACTAGTAGAGGTAGTCCACTGACCACAGAGTACATGTACTCGATAAGGCCAGATCTTCCTTACACAAGAAATCAGGTTTTTTTTATAGCATTGTGATACTCGTTTCCAGGTACTCAGCAGACTCGGTGTGATATTATTGGTGTGATATTGGCATGATATTTATACAAGTATGTGTGACTACAGCATTGCGCTCTGCGGCCGGCCGCAGCACATGCTGTCGCTGACCATGTTCAGTGGCACGACATTACTTACATTAAGCATGGGACAGTAATCAGCTAGTGCGACTTGAGATCCGTATTTATCCAGGTCTCCACTTACAACACCGGGAATAGTCAGCGCTCCGCCAAAGTACTACAAACAACAGCAGCGGCAGCAGCAGCACCAAAAACAAACAAAAAACACGGCTCGTCGACTATCCAACACGCATGTGTCAGTTGGCAGCAGCAACAGCAGCAGCAGAAGCAGCAGCAGCAGCAGCAGCAGCAGCACACACTACATGTAGTAGAGCGGAGTACAATGTATGTATGTATGTATGTATGTATGTATGTATGTATGTATGTATGTATGTATGTATTTATGTATGTATGTATGTATGTATGTATGTATGCCGAATGTACGCTGAATCAAAATGATGATCACATAACACCCAATAGACACCATAGCATAGCCAATGCACCTCTATTGACCAGCAGCTCATTTCCGCCAACTGCAGACCACTTCTCAGCAGTACCTGTAGCGTGCATGTACCGCTCACAGACTTGTCACTACATGTACTGTATGTGGGTGTTGATATAGTATGCTCTCTTGTTCCTATCTGTTCTCACTGCTGCTCTCTTGTTCCTATCTGTTCTCACTGCTGCTCTCTTGTTCCTATCTGTTCTCACTGCTGCTCTATTGTTCTCATCAGTGTCTGTCCAACTACAATGTATTGTGGATAGTAAGCCCTAAGGGCACTGGACAATGGCAATGCGAGCTCTAAGAGCACTGGACAATGGCAATGCAAGCCCTGAGGGCACTGGACAACAGCAATGCATATGCTGCAAGGACACATACCTGAGGCCTGCTGCACTACATACAGGCAGATACTGCTGCACTACATACAGGTAGATACTACGTGTAGCACATGTACAGGAATACTGGTATAAATTACAACACTAGACTCCAAGCTGGAGGACTCTCATTTGCAACACTACACTCTATACACACAGTGTAGACTGTAGACTGTAGAGGCGTGTGGGAGGTGTGTGAGAGGTATGTGAGAGGTGTGTGAGAGGTGTGTGGGAGGTGTGTGGGAGGTATGTGAGAGGTGTGTGAGAGGTGTGTGGGAGGTGTGTGGGAGGTATGTGAGAGGTGTGTGAGAGGTGTGTGGGAGGTATGTGAGAGGTGTGTGGGAGGTGTGTGGGAGGTATGTGAGAGGTGTGTGAGAGGTGTGTGAGAGGTGTGTGAGAGGTGTGTGAGAGGTGTGCGAGAGGTGTGTGAGAGGTGTGTGAGAGGTGTGCGAGAGGTGTGCGAGAGGTGTGTGAGAGGTGTGTGATGGTGCGTCGTCGTCAGTGTCTGTACCTGGTATTGTGCCGGTAGTGGCTGATCGTATTGCCGTAGTGAGCACAAAGCAACTGCCCTCCGCTCCGGTTCACAACGCAGGCTGTGCCCTGTGTTTGTGGTCTCCTTACAGTACGGTGAAATGTCCAAATTCTGTGACTCTTTGGAGGTCATCCACGCCCGACAACTTGTCCGCACAAAGTCGCAGCCAAGCCCCTCGCCTAGGATCAATGGCTCAGCCAAGCTCGTGTTTGCGTCATACCATCTGCACACACATAGTCACCAGTAGCAAAGATATACACATGCAGACATGCAGACGTGCAGACATGCATATTGCGTCAAGCGAAACCATCAATATCAGTAAACCCTGTTCTCTAAATGCACAAATAAATAAGGTTATGCATAATAACTATGTAGCTGCAACGCTGCACTACACCCCGTCACCTGGGCTTAGTTGAGCACTCTTTGTGGATAGCGCCAAGTTACCTGTCCTCATTCAAAGATCACTGATGACTAGACTTGGTTGAGATAGTGGTTAGGCCAGTCACACTCTGAGCACTGCTACTGAGACCTAACAAGGTCCAAGCAGCTAGCTGTAGCTGGATATTGAGTTGTAGCACTGCGCACTGCTACTGAGACCTAACAAGGCTGATCCAAGCAGCTAGCTGTAGCTGGATATTGAGTTGTAGCACTGCGCACTGCTAACGGGGCCTAACAAGGTCCAAGCAGCTAGCTGTAGCTGGAGCTGTAGCTGGAGATTGAGTTGTAGCTGTAACATGTACCGATACATGCGTGTCAGACTGTCAGTGTCAACGATGTCTCACTAACAGAGCGTACAGGCAAAGACAAGGGCAATACCGGACTGTATCCCTATACACTATAGGATGGCGTTGCATGTCTCCTTTCTGTTATCCAACAATGTGTGCACAAATGGCAAAAGTAGTGTCAGGCCTCGAATTCAGAATTCTTAGTAAAAAAACTAAAAGAAAACAAGAATGGTGCCTGCTTGGCCCAAACATCAATTCAGGCAATCATGATTATTACCCCCTCCACCTCCACCTACCCCCCCCCCCCCATGCTTGATTATTTCTCCCCCTATGCATGATGTCATTGTATCCCCCCCCCCACACACACACACACTCCTCCCCACCCAGGTCATCTTACCCACTATCTTCCATTAGCGACATGGTCAGGTTGGAGAAGATATACTCGGATGTTGTCACTCCTGTCAAGACTTCATTCTGTGGAGGCAACAGAGGACAGATGGAAGAGAGAGAGAGAGAGAGAGAGAGAGAGAGAGAGAGAGAGAGAGAGAGAGAGAGAGAGAGAGAGAGAGAGAGAGAGAGAGAGAGAGAGGGAGAGAGGGGGAGAGAGAGGGGGGGGGGAGAGAGAGAGATAGAGAGAGAGAGATAGAGAGAGACAGACAGAAACAGACAGAGACAGACAGAGACAGACAGAGACAGACAGAGACAGACAGAGACAGACAGCCAGACAGACAGAGAGGGGGGGGGGGAGAGAGAGAGTGTGTGAGTGAGAGTAAGTTACATTTATAAAGACAGGTAAGTCTAACAAATGAGGACTGAGACCTCTACAACAGGGTTTTTACACCTGAAAGCAGGTGCATGATTTAACAAGCAGGTTGTCAGTCTAGATTTTATGCGTAGATGGAGAAAAATACGCAGAATTTTTTGTAATGAGATGAAAAGCAGAAATAATTAGAAATACTTGTAATAAGGGGCCGTCCGTAAATATCGAACTTTTTTCACCAAACGAATTATTTTAGTTTAGACCCAACCCCTCCCTCCCTCCCCCTCAGAACGTAAAAAATGTTGACATACATGCATATACAACGGCCATGTACTTCGAAGTACATGAATCAATGTTTTCTGAAACGAAATTGGTCAACCCCCTCCCACCCCATAACGAAATTATTTCGTTTTGTGAAAAATGTTCGATATTTACGGACGGCCCCTAAGAACAGAATGATGAAATGAAAGCCTGCTCACAACCCCGCCCAGCCTTGCAAACTGGGAATGGTGGATTAAGAACCGGAGAGAGAGAGAGAGAGAGAGAGAGAGAAACAGACAGAGCGACAGACAGAGGCAGACAGAAACAGACACACAGGCAGAGACACACACACACACACACACACACAAACAGACAGACAGAAAGAGAAAGAAAGAAAGGGAGAGAAATAGAGAGAACTGGGGACATGAGAGAAGAGCATTGGGCACACTTACTCCAAACACTCTCTGGTCCCAATGTGCTAGTGCAGTTCCTCTTCCACCTTGATTCTCCAGCTGGGCACCTGCTAGTGAGGGACAATTGAAGTGTTGACGGACATACGACTGAGGAGTGAGCACAAGAGTAATTGGAGAGGCACAATACATCAGTAAACACCTGTGTGCGTGTGTGTGAGCCCCTCCGGGGCCCACGTGACCCTAGTGGTAGTAGTGGCTCTACAGGACAGGACAGAACAGGTGTGTGTGTGCCCGCGAGCGTGTGTGTGCGTGTGTGTATGCCCGTGTATGTGTATGTGTGCGCGTGCGTGTGTGTGTGTGTGTTCATGTGACTGGGTATGGTGACGACATGATTCAGGGCTTTTGAGTGGATTTTTGACATTTTAGGCCTCGTTAGCTACTGTGAAGCTCGGCCAGTACCCATGATTGTGCTGATTAATGAAGTCATGGTATTCCGTTTCTCCCCGGAACCGGGATTATCCACACACAAAGATCTCCAGGACACAATGTTTACACTGACTCATGATCTGAAAACAGTCACAACTCTCCAAGAACTAAAACCTGAACATCTCCACAACTAGGCTAAAACCAACTCTGGCCTAACAAAAGATAGCAATAGCTAATAACAGTGCACGCACATACATGGTATAGAAAGACCCTATGGCAACACTCGACCATGTAATGTGATACAACAATAGAATGCAGACGTCTAGACACCAGAGTACTGAATAGACCTGACACATGGCCTTCTTGATGGGAATGCATGAATAGAAGCACACATGGATCATAGCTCTAACACATCCGCCTATCCATATCACGCATGAATGATTGTACTCTAACAGCCAGCATGCTGCACCAGTCTAACTGCAACATTCTCCCCCTCTCACACGAGGAGTTCCGAGGGTGAAACAAAACAAGAAACCAAAAAGGCAACCCCCTCAGAGCCTAAAAGAACAAAAGATGAACGATGGGCTCTACAAACATACGTGTAGCTAAATATGCAAAGACTAAACATATGAAAGTGACCAATCGCACCACAGTACTAGAGTATTCCGACCGAGTCAATAATGAATATGTCTCTTTCTCATTCGCCGTCTGCAGTCAATGGCACTAATCGCTGAATGGCACGACGCTTCACCTTCTTGTTGCTCAGCCGTACGTCCACAACTCTCACCAGGCCATCCTGACCCGGATGTACTCCCACCCGATCCCAGCTGCACAAAGCTCCTGAAACATCAGCCGCGCCCGCATGGTAAAGGGCACAATGTGGCCTCTAGGGTCGAAGATGCTCGCCATCTTCGACAGCACTTGACGCTTGGTCCACTGTTGTTCTTCAGGAGCACGGTGCGTATAGCTGAAGGTGTCTGTCTTGGCGTCCCACACCACACCGAGAGTCTTCACCACCGCTGGTATTTGCTGACTGTCGTTGCTGATGCATAGCAGTGCCTCTTTGGCCAAGTCCTCGTCCGGTATAGACTCTAGCACGGCTTGACTGTTGCTCCTCCATTTGCGGACGTGGAAAGACGCCTTTCCGAGCAGACTCTGGACTTCCTGTCGAGTGTTGATGGCGGACTCCACAGTCGGTAGTGAGTCGAGCAGGTCATCAACGTAAAACGCTTCATCAACTGCTTCCCGAGCCAACTTGCTGAAGGATGCGCCGTGCTCTGCTGACGTTGCCTTCAGAGCCCGACATGCCAGGTATGGCGATGCCTTCAGCCCAAATACCAACCGAGAGAACTCATACATGGCGGCTGGCTCATCCGGTGTGTCGCGCCACAGGAAGCGCAAATACTTGCGATCTTCTGGAGCGATTTCCACCTGCAGAAACATCTCTGCAATATCGCCGACTAGCGCTATAGGCTCTAGGCAAAACTTCATCAGCACGTGTACCAGATCTCTCTGCAACTTCGGTCCAGAGTGCATCTCGTCGTTGAGTGACTTGCCCTGGCATCGGGCAGCGGCATCGAATACCACTCGTACTTTCGTCGTAGTTTTATCTGCTCGTACCACCGCCAGATGAGGAAGCAACCACTGTTGGTCTGTCTCCTGGCACGGATGGATGTAGCCCTTGGCTATATGGGACTTGATGACGTCGGAATACTGCTGGTAGACTTCCGGTCGTTTCCTCAGAGTCCTCTCCAGGTTTCTCAGTCGCTGTTCAGCCATTTCACGATTCGGTGGGAGATCTGGCTTCTTATCGGTGCTGACCCACGGTATGGCCGTAGACACTCTGCCATCCATCAATTTCATGCTTCCTTCAACCATACGTTGTGCTTCCTCCTCCGCGACCGTTTTCGTAGCCTTAGGAACCAAACCAACGCTCTCTACCTCCCAGAACTTTGCGACGAGGTCGTCGAGAACTGCGTTGCTCCTGTCGCTGACATTCGCATGCAGGGACGTCACTGTGAACTCTGCCGCTTGCGACTTGACGGGACCGAAACATACCCATCCGAGGGGAAGTTTTCGAGCAACTGGCTCGCCCGGCTGTCCTGCCAGCTCTTCCAGTACTCTGTGCGCTTCTGGCACGTTGAGTCCTATCAGCAGGTCGACTTGGTCCCCAGTCACCTGCGGGAAGGTAACCTCTTGGAGGTGCTTGTGCATGTGTCTCCTCGAGTTCCACTCGATCATCTCCATCGGTGCTGTAACTATTGGCTGCGTCCATGCTTCCAGCTGGGTTTCATATGAGCCGTCTTCCGACGCCATTGTCACTTTTACGCGACGGTGCTTTCCTGAGACTGTCTTTCCCCCCAGAACCGACGCCGTAAATGCCGTTGGTGTTCCCTGCAGCCCGAGGTCGTTTGCCACACTGTCTTTCAGGTATGTTGTTGAAGAACCGCTGTCCATCATGGCTGTGGCCCGCACCGTCTTGTCCTGATGGCATAACACGACAGGGACTACCATAAAAGCGGTCTTCTGCGTGGTTGCCACCGACGTATTCGTGCTGTGTTGCGGAACCACATTCTCTCGTGGCTTTGTGCTCCTGCTCGTTGAGCCTTGGTTGGCCGGAGGTGCGCGCTCTTGGTGGAGGTCAGGGTGGTGTCTGCCTCGGCACTTGTTGCAACCACTGCCTCTGCATTCGGACTTCCAGTGGCCTGTCTTGAAGCAGCACACACATAGCGATGTTCCAAGCACAAAGTCCCACCGCTGCTTCACTGACAGTTGGCGGAAGACATCACAGCTGGTGAGGGAGTGCGCTTTACCACACTTGGCGCACTGCAACACTGGCTTAGTTGTGCTGGCTGGACCACCTGTGGTGTGCATAGCTGTTGCATTACTTGCTCGAGGGGCCGCTTTGGCAAACGGCCCGGCCACATTCAGCGCAGCCTCTGCTCGATTTTCTAGCCAGTCTGCGAAGACCTCCAGGTCGAGGGAATCCATCTGGATCCTTTTCTCCGCCAAGTATTCGCCCCACTGCATCTTCAGTGCAACTGGCAGCTTATTCACTAGCTCCTGTCGGAGGGTAGGGTTGGACATATGTCCACAGCTACCAAGCAGCTTCATACATAACACTACATTCTTAACCGAGGTGCTGTACGACACCAAGGTCTCTACATCGTCACTGCGTACCGGCTTAGCTGATTTCGCCTTCGATACGAGCTCCGTGACTACTAGTTCTGGCCGCCCGAACCTCCTTTCCAGCGTTGAGAGAACTTTCGGCAGGTTCTCTGGCACGATGAGGAGCATTCTTACTGCCTCTTTTGCAGGACCTTTTAGGCAGACCCGCAATCTCTGAATGTTTTCAGCCTCCGTGAAGCCACATTGCTTGGTCGTAGACTGAAACATGTGGTGGAATGCTGGCCACTCTTCTGCTGCACCCGAGAACGCTGGCAAGTCGGTGTTGATCTTGGCTTGTCGCGCGGTGAGCCTTGATAGCTGGCTTTGCAGACCCTCATCTGCTTGCCCACGTCCATCCTGCTGAAGGCCTTTGACCGTGGAACCAGCTGCTTGGTGCGTCTTCACTATCTCCTCCGGCTCTTGATCGCTCTGAATCCGACTGCGTAGCTCCTGTTGCTGCGCACTAGAACACTGTGCGGTGTACTGGTCGTGGTCCGCACGCCTCCGCAGGCGATCATTTTCTCCGCGAAGCTGGTCCAGCTGAACTAGCAACTCCGCTCGCTGTGTTCGCTGCTCATCCGACCCTCGGCCTCCGCCTCGATCCGCCCGCTGTTGCAGGCTGGCGTTCTCCGCGCGAAGGCGTTCGAGCTTGTCGAGCAGTTCAGCTCGCTGCGCGTGTTGCTCTGCTGAAACCTGCTCGGCTCGCGTCAGCAAGCGGTCATTCTGATCGCGGAGATCTTCCAAACACATGCGCCCCTCCTGGTGTTCTCTTTCCAGGCGCTCGAGATGCGGCTGCAGCTCGCGCAGTTCCCTTTCCGATACATCCCGCTCAGCTTCGCACACCTCTTTTTCCTGCGTGACTCGCCTATTTTCCGCCTGCAGCGATGACAGGTCTGCACGAGCGCTCGCAAGATCCTTGTTCAATTTCGCTACACGTCGCTGCTCGGCGTCCGCTATTGATTGAGCTTCGCTCAGTTCCCGCTGATAGCGCTTCTCTTTCAGCACAAACTCTTGTTGCACTCGCAACCCTGACAGATTGGCCTGCTCCGTATTCGTCGACGCACGTGCGACCTCAGACTCAGTCCTCACCGCCACAGGCAAACTCCTGCTTGTGTGGGCACTGACAGTTCCGGCTACACTGGGACTCGGCACTGCGTGCGGCTCTGGATCGTGAGAAACAGCCACTGCATGTTCTGGCAGGTGCGCAACTTCTACTTCACCCATACTAGCCTCATCTCCTTGGCCAGCGTCAACGGCTGCATCAGCTTCATGGCCTTCTATGAGCTCCTCTGCGAAGACTTCGGAGGCCATCTTGGGAGAGGACGATCCTTTGGCCCCTTGGCCACTTGACGACGCTTCGTCTTGAGCTAACCTCACGAGCTCAAGCTCCTTCTCCAGGAGCCTCTTTTCTGCTTCCAGAACTCGACGCTGAGTCTCGTATAAAGATTGGGACTGTCCTCCTCCTGATCTCCTACTACTGCGCATCGAGCGCTCTTCTTCAAAACCCAAACGGGGAGGTGCTACACCTCTCGTTGACCGCGCACTTCTGCGCGTACTCCTATCTTCACCTTCCATGATGACTATTTCCAGATCCGGCTCGAAGGACCAGATATTCCGTTTCTCCCCGGAACCGGGATTATCCACACACAAAGATCTCCAGGACACAATGTTTACACTGACTCATGATCTGAAAACCGTCACAACTCTCCAAGAACTAAAACCTGAACATCTCCACAACTAGGCTAAAACCAACTCTGGCCTAACAAAAGATAGCAATAGCTAATAACAGTGCACGCACATACATGGTATAGAAAGACCCTATGGCAACACTCGACCATGTAATGTGATACAACAATAGAATGCAGACGTCTAGACACCAGAGTACTGAATAGACCTGACACATGGCCTTCTTGATGGGAATGCATGAATAGAAGCACACATGGATCATAGCTCTAACACATCCGCCTATCCATATCACGCATGAATGATTGTACTCTAACAGCCAGCATGCTGCACCAGTCTAACTGCAACACATGGTACAATGGTACATGTACAGAAGCATTATCAGAATTACAAGTGGCTTGCTTAGTCGTTACAGGTGTCAGCATGCCATCCTACAACTACTTGCCATTTATTGTAAGTATGCATGCGCAGAATGATAGTACATGATCGTGGAGATGATGACATCATGTATGACATCATCGATGACATCATACATGTAGATCTACATGACTTCTGAGGATGACTCAGTGAGCAGGCTGCATGCAATGTACAGTTGTGGCAAGTGAAATCCGACACTTGCCATAGGGGACAGCGCCTCAAATGGACATCAATGATGTAATGCACTGCACCTAATTGGTACTATAGAGCCGTATGCATCCCAAACACTGAAACAGGTCGAAAGGTCACAGCTTAGATACACACAGTTCACAAACATGGTACACGTCAGGAGTATTGGTATCCAATTCCCATTCATATTTGCCAGCACCTTTTGAACCTTGACTGTGATGAGTACGAATTCTGTCATCAGACAGATAAAGTTGTATGCAACACATGTACTGTACGTATGCAGGGCTGCAGAGGCTGCAGGATGCACGGTGCAGTCCCTTATGCCAAGTGTCGGATTTCACTTGCCACAACTGTAGTACATGTAGTAGCCTTACTCTGACTTTCGGTGTTTTCATGATGTAGTAGGCGAGTTGAGTAGTTCCAGTGGCTGATTGCCAGGGGATAGTGGTCGTGTCCACAACACTGTCAGACCAACTATATACAGAGTTTGCCGGGAAATCAAAACCATTCCTGGATGCCATGCACGGGAGCAAGAAGAGAACACGTACACGTCGATTATTTTAGAGAACAAGACGTTCAAAAACAAATCTAATCAAAAAAGAGGTTATCCCGCTCAGAATTAATTCGATGTTTCAGGTCACTTCTCTCAGCTTCACAAGGGCCAGTCAGTCGGCAGCCGTTTTCTTCCAACCTTCACTTGTCAGTATGTACATGTAAACGAAAGAGTAAATTATCGTGTCCGTTCCCAAAGTGAACTCACGACGGCCGCTAACACCCGGTAAACCCAAGCGTACATGTACCGGTGGTAAGTGTACTCACAGTACATACATGTATGTGGGCACTTGACTAAAGCTATGGCGGCCTTACTCACGACATCCCCAAACAGTGTCCTCTATGCCCTGGCTTAAACTGGATCTGCTACAGTATGTGACGAGCACTACAAGTAGCGAAAAGGTTGAAGGGCTTGCATGTTCCGGAGAAAAGCCAAGGTCCACAGCGTCACACGCTAGCAACTTTTACGACTTTGTCAACGTATTACGGTGCATTACGAGATGACGCTATGTACTGGAAAGTCATTATTTTTGATGGGGTTAGACTGGGCAACCACACAACAATATACTCACACAATTTGCCCACCACACCACATCATGGTCGCGCAGCCTGTCATTTTCAAAAAATAAAATAAACAAACACCGGACATTTCTGCAACCAACCCCCCCTTTTAGTCACTACATAGGTTTTCTATTTTCAAATTCTACGGACAGTCCCCACAGTGGAGTCGCTCGCTACAACATTGTTTCCAAGGGGTAAGCCGGGGACATTCTTATCTTTCAGCAATCTGGCTGCGTTCTTATAGCAGGGGTGTCTGAATTGGCGCGGCAAGTGCGGCCAAAGCCGCACCAAAAATTTCATCTCGGGATTTTTGAAGCAATGGAATATGGGCTATTTGGACCCAATTGCCCTACAATTTTCCCGGGGGAGGGCCCCGCACCCTCCACCCATTCATGGCCACACCAATGTCTAATACCTTCCAACGCCCCGGTATAGCATGTTCAAAGAAACAATTGCTGCCAGAAAAGAATAAGTCCTGGGTGGCCTTATCAGTGAAAGAATGTTGTCTGGCCAAGCTCGTTGGGCCAATGAAATGGTATTGACTGGTCTAAGGCCAAACGGGGTGGAGGGCCTGAGAGGAATACAAAGAGAAGGAGAAGAAAGGACGGGAGAAGGACAGAAGGGAGGAGCAGCAGCAGGAGCAGCAGTAGCAGTAGCAGTAGCAGCAGCAGCAGCAGCAGCAGCAGCAGCAGCAGGAGGAGGAGGAGGAGGAGGAGGAGGAGGAGGAGGATACAATAATCTAGCTGCTTCCAGACCGTGCCTCCAAGGTGTGCATACTAGCCATATTAACCTGGTCACCGTGGGCAAACCAAACCGCCAAGTATCCACATGCATAGCCTTTCATAGTTGTTGTGTTGCATACCACTTCATTCTCCACAGTTACAGCGCCCAACTTCTGGCCACGACCCCTATACTGCAGGCCATGGAGGTTCTCTGAAACCAGCCCTGAGGGCAGCACCAGCAGTCGCTGCCACAGTAGCAGAAACAGCACCTCTGCCAGTGTTCTGACTAAACAGCAACAGCAACAACAGCAGCAGGGCTCAACCTCTTCCCCGCCGCCGCCGCCGCCACCACCGCCGCCACCACCACCGGCAGACATCATCTCCACTCCACTGCCTGGTGGCCAAAAACGGAGAAACTCCCACCTTTCCCCACCAGAGGCTGGAGACCTGAAGAGATCAAACGGATCTGCGCCACAACATGACCTACATGGTCACCAATGAAGCGCTTCCTCAGGCTCCTACTCACCAATGCTTTTGGCCTAAAGTCAAAGCTTGGTGAACTTGCACATGTTGCAAAGTGCTCCTCACCTGATGTCATCGCTGTTACGGAGACAAAATTCTCAACCGCAAAGGTCACTGACAGTGAGGTCTGTCTGTCCGGATACGCTCCCCCAATCCGACATGACAGAAACGCTCATGGAGGCGGAGTTGCCATCTGGGTGAAATCAAACATGGCCTTCCAGCACCTGGACCGGTTCAGCACGGAACACCACGAAGTGATATGGATATCTGTATCAACAGCTAGCCGGTCCAAGATTGTTATCTGTGCACTCTACCGATCAGGCTCCGCAGCCGGGACAGACACCGAGCTGATCGAATACCTTGATACCCACCTAGATGAGGCCCGCAGCCACGGTGACTATGTTATCCTCGCAGGGGACTTCAATGTCCACAATGCAGCATGGCTAGGGAGCACCAAGACTACCTCGGCAGGAGAAACAGCCGAGGAACTCTGCTATGTTCATGGCCTGGAGCAACATGTCAACATCCCCACACGTGGAGACAACACCCTGGACCTTGTGATGTCTGACTTCAGTGAACCCGTTCAGGTGAAATGCCATGCCCCACTGGGGTCCTCTGACCACGCTGTCCTCACCATGGACTTCCCTATCTCTGCGTTCCGTGAACCAAAAACCACACGCACTGTCTGGCGGTACAACCAAGCAGACTGGAACCGCCTCTGTCACTTTTTCCTAGCCTATGACTGGTCAACTGCCTTCACCACCAGCGCTGATGAGTCGTGCGCCAACATCACCGAAGTTATCCTCCAGGGTATGTCACGTTTCATCCCATCCCGGCAACTCACATCCCGGCCGACGGATCCAGCTTGGTGGACCCCTGAGTGCACGGATGCCATAAAAGCAAAAGAGAGGGCTTGGGCTACTGCCAGACGGCAGAAGTCAACAGCAGCGCGGCAGACAGCCTCAGCAGCCACTCTACGTTGTAATGACATCCTCCAGCATGCCAAGGTGGCCCGCCTGGCTACCCTGCGTACTAAGCTCTCCAAAGCTAGCCTGAGTGACCGCTCGTGGTGGTCTACCATCAAGCAAGCAGGTGGCAGCAGCAGAAACACGTCCATCCCAACTCTTACGCCGCAGCCTGGTTTGGAATGCGTATCGAATGCCGAAAAAGCTGAGTGTTTTGGGCAGTATTTCGCCTCAAAGTGCAGCCTGGGCGCCGACGACTTCCCCGCGAACCAACCAGCGACTGATTTCCCCCACGTTGCAAAGCGCACGGCTGAAAAGCTCTCAACGGTTCGGTTCCGCCCTGCCACTGTCAAGAGAGAACTCCGCCGCCTAAATGCATCGAAAGCTACTGGACCGGATTGCATTCCCGCGCGAGTTCTGAAGATGTGTGCCGACCCCCTAAGTAAGCCACTCTCCAAACTGTTCTCCCTTAGCTTCTACAGCATGGTTATGCCGACATCCTGGAAGACAGCTAGAGTCACACCCATTCACAAGAAGAAATCCAAGAACCTGCCTCAACACTACAGACCTGTGTCTCTGCTGTCTATCATATCCAAAGTGATGGAAACAATTGTCAATCGTCAGATAACCAGTTTCGTGGAGTCCCACAATGTCATCTCTGCGAAACAGTTCGGGTTCAGAAAGGGCCTGAGCACAGCCGACGTCTTAACCAAGCTCCACTGTGAATGGTCCCGAGCAGCCGGCCTAGGAGGAGCCGCCCATGTTTTGGCGATAGACATAGCAGGCGCCTTTGATAAAGTCAGCCATGCTGGCCTGCTGCATAAGGCTTCCGTGTACGGTCTAGACGGCCCGCTTCTCGGATGGCTGGAAAGCTACCTGCACAACCGGCGCCTGCAGGCTGTTGTGGGCGGCCAAGAGTCCTCCCTGCACCATATCCAAGCAGGGGTACCACAAGGTAGCATCCTTGGACCAACGTTATTCCTCCTGTACGTGAATGACTGCGAGGACACCTTGCCTGCTGGTGCTGAGCTTGCCACGTATGCAGATGACACGACACTGTATCAGTGCATCTCTGCCACCGCCAGCATATCCGACTCTGCAGCACAACTCCAGGAAGCAGTGGACGCCGTCTCCCACTGGGGTTCCAAGTGGAAGGTCACCTTCGAGCCATCCAAATCTCAGGCCCTCATCATCGACCACCGCAAGCCTCCCCCAGCGTTCCCACCAGTGCTCTTCAATGGAGTGACTGTTCCTGAAGAGAAGGAAATTAAACTTCTGGGCATAGCATTCGACTCGCAACTGTCCTACGCAGCACACCTCCGGGCCGTGGCCTCAAAGGCTGCCCAACGCCTACACTTCCTGAGAAAGGTTGCGCCCCTGTTGGACTCCAGCGGCCGCACGGCAGTCTACAAAGGCTTCGTGCGGCCAACAATGGAATACTGCTGCCTGGTGTGGATGGGGTCAGGTACATCCAGACTGGACAAAATCCAGCACAAGGCACTGAAGGTGATTGGCCCAGGCGCCTGGCTCCCCAGCCTGAAACACCGCCGACTGGTTGCTGCGCTTTCGTTCACGTTCAAGCTGTCTTACCTTCCAACAACAAGCCCCCTGAAGCCCATCCTCCCACCTCCAGCCAATCCCCGCCCAGTGGGTGGTCGATCCACTAGGTTAGCCACGGAGACTGCCCACTGCCACCCACTCCAGCTGAAGTCGACGCTGCCCGTGCGCATTCGTAGCAGCCTCCAGGGTTCCTACCCAGACTGCATTATTCCCTTGTGGAACAGCCTACCAGCGACCATTCTACCAGCACGGCCGCAACCCAGCCAGCTCCAATTATTCAAAGAAAAATGCAACAAGTATCTGCTGCACCTGAACTGGCAAGCAGCCACCGACGCCCTATGAAACGGTTTAGACCAGTGCCTCACTAGCATCCTCCCCCCCCCCCTTACCACAATGTGACGTTGTCTTTCACTCTGCTTCTCTCACGACCATCTACCCATTGTCCTTGTTTCTCACTATTATTCATTTCCCCTCCTCCTCCTCTCTACATGGTTTTACTGCATTATGGCGCGCTTTGTCTGCGTAGACGCCGAGACCTTTGAGGTCGGCAGAGCAGCCTGGCCCCGCCACCACTTCTCGCACATATTCGGGAATATAGTGGACTTTCGTATAAAAAAAAATAAAAAAAATAAAAAATACTGCAGAGCCTTACATGGTTGTTGTGTTGCATACTGCAGAGCCTTACATGGTTGTTGTGTTGCATACTGCAGAGCCTTACATGGTTGTTGTGTTGCATACTGCAGAGCCTTACATGGTTGTTGTGTTGCATATTGCAGAGCCTTACATGGTTGTTGTGTTGCATACTGCAGAGCCTTACATGGTTGTTGTGTTGCATACTGCAGAGCCTTACATGGTTGTTGTGTTGCATACTGCAGAGCCTTACATGGTTGTTGTGTTGCATACTGCAGAGCCTTACATGGTTGTTGTGTTGCATACTGCAGAGCCTTACATGGTTGTTGTGTTGCATACTGCAGAGCCTTACATGGTTGTTGTGTTGCATACTGCAGAGCCTTACATGGTTGTTGTGTATGCATATTGCATATCCTTACATGGTTGTTGTCAGGAACTGAGGTGATAAGTTGGGAAAGCCATCCATACCCCTACTAGTACGGGGTGCTCCATTCTCATCACGGTAGAATGCAAATAATGATGGTGTCATGGCCTGAGCAAAATACAAAATAGCACATACACGTGTACATGCACATACACACACGCACACAGACACACACGCACACAGACACACACGCACACAGACACACACGCACACATACACACACGCACACAGACACACACGCACACAGACACACACGCACACATACACACACGCACACATACACACACGCACACAGACACACACGCACACAGATTACTATTATTCACTCTCTTTCAGGCAGGCCGTATTGCGATGTTTCACACCGTCCACCTCACACACTCTAACTAATATGCATTCACAACAAATCCCATCCGGTGCTTATGTTCACATGGGGCTTAGCATCACGAATCTCAATCGCCTCGCGCAGTTTGCGACGGGCTCGATCAGGCTCTCTTCCTATTACTTCCTATTACTTGTGAAATTTCTCAGCTTCCCCTGCTGCTACTTCAATATCACTGAATAATTAAAATACGAGGCAGGTCACTCAAATCCATTCTGTTCCTGATGCCTCGTCGCGTCCCTGGTGGTAACAGTTTGGCATGGAAGTTTAACCTCATAGTGCATTGACGCATGGGGCTCCGTGCTCCCCTCCTGTAATGTGCTAGAATTAACACCATAATTATTTGGCATGTACCCTCACTTCGTAGAGCACAACGGCACGCTCTTCTTCTCCGTGATGTGCACAGTTGCACCTTCTCTCCCCCCTCTGTATAGAGGTGACATAACTCGCATCATTTTATTTTTTGACGCTACACTCTGCGTAACGCCATTCACAGAGCACAATGCGCGCTACCTTCTGCTGCTTCTCCGCCGTGATGTGCTAGTTGCGCCTTTTCTCTCTCTCTGCCCCCCCCCCCTTCTGCATACTAGGTGACATAATTCGCATCTTTTTTGGCGCTACACTCTGCGTATATACTGCTCTTGTGTGGCTTCCACGGTATTCATTGTTATTACCTGACGATGGCCAAGTGCCGAAACGTTGTAAAAATAACGGAACTGGTTCGGATGTGATGTGCAGCGCTATGGGAATGGGTGTGTCCACCCGAATTCTTTTCTCAGATGGTGAGCCAAGGGAAAAAAATTGTTGACATGGAAATTGTGGGCACAAGTTAGCCAGTAATATTAAATAAATGTAAAAAGAGATAGTAGGTAGTTGCTGCATAACTCGTTCTCAAGCGTTTTCTTCTCTTTTTACAATGTAAGCATTAGGATATTGTTGTTACTACTTGTTAGTGTCTGCAGAGCATTGCCCTAGTCCCACCTACCAGAATGTGATACATCTCATGGAGTATGAGACCACGCAAGTGAGGACGCACGCTCTTTGACGTCTCCAGGCGATTGGGACACAAGTTCAGGTTACCAAATATGGGCCTGAAGGTGTAACCAAAACGCAGCAAAGAGCAAAGCAACATTTCCAATACTACTGCTGTTCCCATGGCTACCATAACAGTACAGTCAGACCTCGCTTATCCGGTCCTCTTTTATCCGGATCCCTCGCCATCCGGAAGAAAATCATTGGTCACCGATTTACAGCAATTGCCATGCATACGTACATTATGTGTGTTCGATTATCCGGTTCCCTCGCCTATCCGGATACTTTTTTTGGAAAACAGATGTGTGCGGTTATGCGAGGTCTGACTGTAATCCAATACTAGTGGTGTTGCCATGGTTATGGCCAGTATACAAACCAGAGCGGTAACGTAATGAATATCAGCAAAGGTGCTGTCAACTGAAAGCCGAGTTTTGTCCCAGTCGTCAAAGTCAAGCAGCGAGTGCGTTCGATTATGCCCGCGAATCGATTCATGAATCGATTCGCGTTATTCACACCTCCCTATGTGAATAGGGTGAATGGATTTCGAATCGATTCCAGGGCTCATGACATGAAAATCGAACGACTTGAATGCATGTGAATGGATTCATGAATCGATTCAAGTGCATAATCGAACGCAGTCAGTGTGTGCTGCTGGCTATTCCAGACAGACTGGCATGCATACATGTAACACATCATTGTTACCATGGTTACATAGCACAGTATGATCAACGCGACCTATGCTATAATGCATGCTGCTGACAATTAGTTAGGGGGGGGGGGGGGTAGTGGAATGTGAAACAATGTGATTCCGCTTTTAGGCTTATAGGCTGCCCGTTGCAGTCAACTTTACAGGAAGGCTAGTTTACAGGATAGATAGGCTAGTTTACAGGATTGATGGGCTAGTTTACAGGATTGATAGGCTGGTTTACAGGATGGATAGGCTAGTTTATACACGCCGTGTACTGTGTGTTGGGGACTGGTATGCGGGCATGGTGCCTTGTGCTCTCAAACTGTGAATCCGGGGTTGTACTGACACACACACACACACACACACACACACACACGCACGCACGCACGCACGCACGCACGCACGCACACACACACTCATCATTATCAGTGTTTACATGAAGTAGAGAAAAAACACAATCCAGTTTGACTGATGATGCCTACCTATTCAGCACACTCTCCTGAGCACAATGCTGTGCAAATCCAAGAGTAGACGATCCAGTAGTGGCGCACAGTGATTCATGCTTAGCGCTGATGTAAACTACAATGTCGGAATTTGTCCCACCAGTGCCATTTGATCCACTGTACCTACAGTTCAGTCCTCCAGCCTGACACGAATAGCACGCCTGCAGGACAGCAGCAGCAGCAGCAGCAGCAGCAGCAGCAGCAGCAGCAGCAGCAACATCATCATCAACAAGTACTTTGCGTGCATGCGTGCGTGGGTGGGTGTTAAAACACGCATGCACGCACGCCGCACACACAGACACACACACACACACACGCATACACACACATACACACACATACACACACACACACACACACACGTGCACGCAGGCATAAATTGATTCTAAAAGTAACACAGGACAACAATAGAACACCAGAATACAATAGAACACCAGAATACAATAGAACACCAGAATACAATAGAAAGTGTGAACATGTTGGCAAATGACTATGTACGACTGTTCAAATGAGCACCTCAATGCCGTCAGCTGACCTTGAGATGTACTGGCTTGACAACAGCCAGACCACATTTGGTAGTGACAGTACATGATTCTCTACACGCTATCTTAGTTGAGTCACTTTTGGTGGGGAAATAGTTTCCACCAGCGCAGGATCTACGGGACGGAAAGAAGGCACATAACAGGATATTAGAGAAGGCGCATAACAGGACATCAGCTAGATTGTAGGTAACAAGATCAGTAACTAACTAATTAGTACCCAGTACCCAGTCCCCAGTCCCCAGTACCCAGTACCCAGTACCCAGTACCCAGCACCCAGCACCATGTACCAGTGACTACTACATGTACTGTAAGACATGTTATTATAACGAGTCGCAAATTTAACGATTGTCCAAAATTCATAGGTTAACGAGAAGATATGTTAACGATCTTGCAGTATTCTGCCATATCCACACACAGCATATATGAAGCAGTACGGCCTCAACGGATCTTATTATAACGAAGAAATGTCATCCGTTAAAACGTTAGATTTGCTTCCTCGTTATATATACATGTCTTAGGGGCCATCCGTAATTATCGATCTTTTTCACGAAACGAAAAAGTTTCGTTTATGGGTGGGTGGGTGGCGACCGGTTTCGTTTTGAAAAAACATCGAAAGCGGAAAAATCAACGCTCACTGCATGCATTGATGCATGCATACATTGTGTACATCGAAGTAGATCGACAGTCTAGTCTACGTCGCGCGGCCCAGCAAGTGCATGGATGCACTGATACCACTCTGTACTCAGTGCAGTGAGTTCCTTTCGTCCTCGGATGACTTCTCCGACGAGGACCTAGCAGTCATCATGGTCATTCACTCTGGGACCGACGACAGATAGATAAATACTTCGTTCCAGCCGCCGATGCAAGAGAATTTCAAATTACGGAGCGGGGCGCAAGCCAAGTAAATTCTCACGCAAATATGGGGAGCGCCAGCCGCTGAAGACGATGTCGTCGTAATGTACATGTACCTGGAAGAATCTGATCGTGCTTATGGTGGGGACGCCATGGAGAGTGATCCCCGTGTCGACAGTCTTCCAGAGACGGAAATTTAGGCCATCGACTTTCTACGTACCTGATTGACGGCAGCGCGGCGTGCGTGCGACCTTACGGAGCTTTCCGACAGCGATTCTGGGGCCATGCTGCTCTCATTTGCGAGCGAGGCACGACCACTGAAGTCTGTGATAGCTATGGCGTTTGTTTCCGCTCCGAAGTCGACTTGTTTTGGCAGTATCATGTCAATGTCGGAACTCTGACGATTTGCAAGTGTACAATTCCCGTGTTTAGACGTAGAGGTGCCAGCGTATGTGTGTGGTAGGTGTAAATAAATGTTTCCATGGTCAAGAAGTAGTACCCGACTTCCAAGAAAACATAACTACTTTAGTACTTACATGTACTTGCACAGTCACACAAAATGTGGCCTCGCTGTGTTGTAACCATGTAACAGCCAATCAAGATTATTTTCTGCACAAAGTCTCAAGTCAATTAATTTTTTCGTTTCAGGGGGGTGGGTGGGTGGGGGTGGGTCATAACTAAACTTTTTCGTTTCGTGAAAAAGATGGAAAATTACGGATAGCCCCTTATAGTACATAATTACACGCCGTTATGCACTGTTGCTAGCGGCTACCGTTATGCACTGTTGCTAGCGGCTACCGTTATGCACTGTTGCTAGCGGCTACCGTTATGCACTGTTGCTAGCGGCTACCGTTATGCACTGTTGCTAGCGGCTACCGTTATGCACTGTTGCTAGCGGCTACCGGTATGCACTGTTGCTAGCGGCTACCGTTATGCACTGTTGCTAGCGGCTACCGTTATGCACTGTTGCTAGCGGCTACCGTTATGCACTGTTGCTAGCGGCTACCGTTATGCACTGTTGCTAGCGGCTACCGTTATGCACTGTTGCTAGCGGCTACCGTTATGCACTGTTGCTAGCGGCTACCGGTATGCACTGTTGCTAGCGGCTACCGTTATCACTGTTGCTAGCGGCTACCGGTATGCACTGTTGCTAGCGGCTACCGTTATGCACTGTTGCTAGCGGCTACCGTTATACACTGTTGCTAGCGGCTACCGTTATGCACTGTTGCTAGCGGCTACCATTATGCACTGTTACTAGCGGCTACTGTTATGCACTGTTGCTAGTGGTTACCGTTATGCACTGTTGCTAGTGGCTACTGTTATACACTGTTGCTAGCGGCTACCATCATGCACTGTTGCTAGTGGTTACCGCTATGCACTGTTGCTAGTGGTTACCGTTATGCACTGTTGCTAGTGGTTACCGTTACGTATTCTTGCTAGCGGTTACTGCTGTGCACCGTGATGTGAATGCAGGGAGAGCAAAGACCAGCAAAATGATTGCCAATGTTGCTACTATTGCTCCTACTGTTGCTGCTACTGTTGCTGCTACTATTGCTGCTACTGTTGCTGCTACTGCTGGAGATGGTGGTGTTACTGGCGTTCAATGCACTGCTGCATGACATTATCAACTTCTTTTCTTTTCTTTTTTTTACTATGTTTTATTTCGCGTATATCCAAGCGAGAATTTCTTCCCAGCAAGGTAGCGAAGAGGGAAGAAAAGAAAAGAGAGAAAACAAGTGTGTATGCACTGGAAATGATAGTCAGCTGGTTATCAATAGTACGGATCCATTGTCAAATATGGCATTAGCTACTGTTGCAGGTATTGAGCAAGGAATACAACAGGAATACAACAGGCACAGTCAGTGACCAATTCTGTAAAACACTAACTCACGGACTGATTCGAATTGGTGCAGTAAGACGGTCAACAGAGTAGCGCACTGAGTAGTAACTGACCATCTCCTGTACCAGCTCCTGAAACACACACACATCCAGTACAACAACAACAACAACAACAACAACAACAACAACAACAACAACAACAACAACAACAACAACAACAACAACAACAACAACAACAACAACAACAACAACAACAACAACAACAACAACAACAACAACAACAACAACAACAACAACAACAACAACAACAACAACAACAACAACAACAACAACAACAACAACAACAACAACAACAACAATGTACATCCAGTACAAAATCTGACACACCTTACACCTGCCCATCGCTAAAGCGATGATAGCGAACAAGTCATGTTAGACATACCGCTAGCACATACATACACATCACTCATCATGAGTTCAAAATAGCTACATTGAACCGTTACTATCAGATTTGTTGTGATGCTGATAAGGGCATGTTGAGTCACCTCCACCATTACACTGCGCTCTTTAGCCGACTAGACCCTCCTGCCCACAACCATCACCACTGCGAGGACACTTCCATAGACGATATTGATAAACTCCTTCAGACAGCTGTTTCGCTAATACTTAGTACATAGCTCATCAGTGAAGGTAGATGTTGAATGTTTAAAAATATAGACTAAACTGCTATTATAATATAGGGTTTCCACATACAAAACTGGCATAGCTGAGGTGATAACACGGGATAGGAAAGTGTGAAGTACTGTTGATGCGCATGGGACATGCATGCAGCGTCAGAAATTCGGCGCGGAAAATCAATCACTATAAGCATGACTATCAATGCCGAAATAACGTGCCAGAATCAGTGTACTGTGTAGCTAGTGAGAGTCTGTGTATTTCACTTGTCCGAGTGCCATGAAGGCCTGCAAACGCACCTCACGACCCGCCGAAATCGACAGCCACAGCAGCCCCTGGGGCATGACACTGCACTGCTCGCCTGCCGCGCCAAGACGCTTGGCAGTCACTAGGCTTCATGCCACCAATGTTGTCCGCAAGCTACCTTGTCGTCATCTGCCCATCACCCACTGCCGCTGACGCGCTGGGAGGCCCCGCGGCATTCGCCCAGTATATCGTCGTCAGAGCTGTGTCGACGGTACAATAACGCTGGTAGAAACAAACAGTTGGTCGTATGTTATTGCGTTATTTTCTTCAATGGCCGAGAGCTCTGTCGCAGCCTGTAATAGCTGAATTGCTGATACCGATGTACAGTGTATCATGAAGCAAACTGATTCTGAAAAGCCAAAGTGGATGAATGTACCATGCAATGTACTGGGACAAGTTGGCCAGTAGGATGTGTATTGTCACTACTCACACAGGGCTTCAAGCTCATCCAAAGTACAACGAAAAGAGAGATAAGATAAACTCTAACAACAGAAGTGAAAATCAGTATGAAATGGAACGGACTAATCAGCAGAAACAGTTGTCTTTACTCTTTAGGTTTACATAGCACTTACACATACAGTGTGTGTGTGTGTGTGTGTGTGTGTATGTGTGTGTATGTGTGTGTGTGTGTTTTCTGCTCTGGTGGAGGACGGTTGTACTTTTTCGGGCTCTTGTTTCTGGCCTTGGTCCGTGCTTGTTCTCGCCGTTGTGGACGGCCTGGGGTGTCCCCAGCCATACAGGCCAAAAGTGCCTGAGGTGGGGTATTCATCGACAGGAGACTTGATCGGATAGTTACGATGCTGACACTCTCCTCGTCGCCCCCACCTCGGAGTCCTTCGCGAGGCCTTGCAAGCCCGCGAGTGGAGCAAACTACCGCACGAAGACGACAACTTGGAACGACTCTAAGCATTGGCTCATGGAATGTTTGCTCTGTTGTGGAGAGTGATGGACCAGTTCGAGCGGCCGCCGTGAGCGGAATCGTTTCCGACGATAAGAAAATCTTTCAAATAGTTGAACATCTTGACAATGTGTGTGTTCTCTGCTCTGGTGGAGGACGGTTGTACTTTTCCGGGCTCTTGTTTCTGGCCTCCGTCCGTGCTTGTTCTCGCCGGTGTGGACGGCCTGGGGTGTCCCCTGCCGTCCAGGCCAACAGTGCCTGAGGTGGGGTATTCACCGACAGGAGACTTGGTCGGATAGTTACGATGCCGACACTCTCCTCGTCGCCCCCACCTCGGAGTCCTTCGCGAGGCTTTGCAAGCCCGCGAGTGGAGCAAACTTCCGCACGAAGACGACGACTTGGAACGACTCTGAGCGTTGGCTCATGGAATGTTCGCTCTGTTGTGGAGAGTGATGGACCAGTTCTAGCGGCAGCCGTGAGAGGAATCGTTTCCGATGATAAGCCAGAGCCATAGCTGCTGGAGATGGCTCTCTCGAACATGGTCCCGCTCGTCGTTCTATATTGTCGGCCCCGTAAGGGGACACGTGACCGTAATGGCAGTGTTTACCAGGACCAGGACCAGGTGTGTGTGTGTGTGTGTGTGTGTGTGTGTGTATGTGTGTGTGTGTGTGTGAGTGTGTGTGTGTGTGTATGTGTGTGTATGTGTGTGTGTGTGTATATGTGTGTGTGTGTGTATGTGTGTGAGTGTATGTGTGTGTGTGTGTGTGTGTGTGTGTTTGGTGAGCTCCAGAAGACGCGCCCTCGCCACGGGCCTCGCAAGCGTTGGCGTGACAACATCGTGATTGACCTAGAGGAACGCCACATCAATGACTGATACAGCCTAGCCGAGGACCGCCGTGCATGGAGACTGGCGAGGACCGCCGTGCATGGAGACTGGCGAGGACCGCCGTGCATGGAGACTGGCGAGGACCGCCGTGCATGGAGACTGGCGAGGACCACCGTGCATGGAGACTGGCGAGGACCGCCGTGCATGGAGACTGGCGAGGACCGCCGTGCATGGAGACTGGCGAGGACCGCCGTGCATGGAGACTGGCGAGGACCGCCGTGCATGGAGACTGGCGAGGACCGCCGTGCATGGAGACTGGCGAGGACCGCCGTGCATGGAGACTGGCGAGGACCGCCGTGCATGGAGACTGGCGAGGACCGCCGTGCATGGAGACTGGCGAGGACCGCCGTGCATGGAGACTGGCGAGGACCGCCGTGCATGGAGACTGGCGAGGACCGCCGTGCATGGAGACTGGCGAGGACCGCCGTGCATGGAGACTGGCGAGGACCGCCGTGCATGGAGACTGGCGAGGACCGCCGTGCATGGAGACTGGCGAGGACCGCCGTGCATGGAGACTGGCGAGGACCGCCGTGCATGGAGACTGGCGAGGATCACCGTGCATGGAGACTGGCGAGGATCACCGTGCATGGAGACTGGCGAGGACCGCCGTGCATGGAGACTGGCGAGGACCGCCGTGCATGGAGACTGGCGAGGACCGCCGTGCATGGAGACTGGCGAGGACCGCCGTGCATGGAGACTGGCGAGGACCGCCGTGCATGGAGACTGGCGAGGACCGCCGTGCATGGAGACTGGCGAGGACCGCCGTGCATGGAGACTGGCGAGGACCGCCGTGCATGGAGACTGGCGAGGACCGCCGTGCATGGAGACTGGCGAGGACCGCCGTGCATGGAGACTGGCGAGGACCGCCGTGCATGGAGACTGGCGAGGACCGCCGTGCATGGAGACTGGCGAGGACCGCCGTGCATGGAGACTGGCGAGGACCGCCGTGCATGGAGACTGGCGAGGACCGCCGTGCATGGAGACTGGCGAGGATCACCGTGCATGGAGACTGGCGAGGATCACCGTGCATGGAGACTGGCGAGGACCGCCGTGCATGGAGACTGGCGAGGACCGCCGTGCATGGAGACTGGCGAGGACCGCCGTGCATGGAGACTGGCGAGGATCACCGTGCATGGAGACTGGCGAGGATCACCGTGCATGGAGACTGGCGAGGACCGCCGTGCATGGAGACTGGCGAGGACCGCCGTGCATGGAGACTGGCGAGGACCGCCGTGCATGGAGACTGGCGAGGACCGCCGTGCATGGAGACTGGCGAGGATCACCGTGCATGGAGACTGGCGAGGACCGCCGTGCATGGAGACTGGCGAGGACCGCCGTGCATGGAGACTGGCGAGGATCACCGTGCATGGAGACTGGCGAGGACCACCGTGCATGGAGACTGGCGAGGACCGCCGTGCATGGAGACTGGCGAGGACTGCCGTGCATGGAGACTGGCGAGGACCGCCGTGCATGGAGACTGGCGAGGACCGCCGTGCATGGAGACTGGCGAGGACCGCCGTGCATGGAGACTGGCGAGGACCGCCGTGCATGGAGACTGGCGAGGACCGCCGTGCATGGAGACTGGCGAGGACCGCCGTGCATGGAGACTGGCGAGGATCACCGTGCATGGAGACTGGCGAGGACCGCCGTGCATGGAGACTGGCGAGGACCGCCGTGCATGGAGACTGGCGAGGATCACCGTGCATGGAGACTGGCGAGGATCACCGTGCATGGAGACTGGCGAGGACCACCGTGCATGGAGACTGGCGAGGACCGCCGTGCATGGAGACTGGCGAGGACCGCCGTGCATGGAGACTGGCGAGGACCGCCGTGCATGGAGACTGGCGAGGGCCGCCGTGCATGGAGACTGGCGAGGACCGCCGTGCATGGAGACTGGCGAGGACCGCCGTGCATGGAGACTGGCGAGGACCGCCGTGCATGGAGACTGGCGAGGATCGCCGTGCATGGAGACTGGCGAGGACCGCCGTGCATGGAGACTGGCGAGGACCGCCGTGCATGGAGACTGGCGAGGACCGCCGTGCATGGAGACTGGCGAGGACCGCCGTGCATGGAGACTGGCGAGGATCACCGTGCATGGAGACTGGCGAGGACCGCCGTGCATGGAGACTGGCGAGGACCTCCGTGCATGGAGACTGGCGAGGATCACCGTGCATGGAGACTGGCGAGGACCACCGTGCATGGAGACTGGCGAGGACCACCGTGCATGGAGACTGGCGAGGACCACCGTGCATGGAGACTGGCGAGGACCACCGTGCATGGAGACTGGCGAGGACCACCGTGCATGGAGACTGGCGAGGGCCGCCGTGCATGGAGACTGGCGAGGACCGCCGTGCATGGAGACTGGCG